TGGATCGGTACTAGACGGGCTGCGTGGATCGGTACCAGACGGGCTGCATGGGTCTATAAAGATAAAGGAAAACAGATGAGCTGCAGTCCCTGAACTGGGACACCAGGTCCCAGTTGGTCCTGGTTCTGGTCCCTGCAGACCAGGACATGAAGCAGGTTAATTAGCTGGAACACATCAGCAGCCTAGCAGCAGAACTTTGAGTGAACAGAACCCAGACTCTGGACTCAGCGGGGTGCTGTGACCTTTGACCCCTCAGTCTGAAGAGTTTAAAATAAAAAGTGTTTCAGGTCTTTACATTTATTTTATGATTATTTAGAAGCTGCTCTTCCTAAGCTGACGCTGGACTGTTAACGTAACGTTGGTACCGGTTCTGGTTGTTTACAGGTTCACTTTAGGGCTCTATTTTCTGAGCCCGGACACCCTCCAGAAGAAGCTCCTTACAGCCACTTGGATCCAGGATCTGGTTCTTGCGGTTCTGATCCAGACCTCGTGATCAAAGGTGAGGGTTGGAACGTGGAGGGACGAGTACCTTCAGACCTGCCTTGGAGCTCAGCTCCTTCTTCACCTCCACAGGCGTGTCTTTAACTGAATAAAGAGCGTGGTCTGTAGGTGAGACCGCCCTCGTCCCTAAGACATTAAAGGGACGAGGGCGGAGACGTTGACTCTTGAAGACGTTTTGTTTTTTAGGAGCTTCAATTCCAGGAAACAAACGCTCACGGTCCACGTTCAGTTCTCACATATATTTCCTTTTGTCTTTTTGTTTTCCAGCCGTCCTCGACATCTGTCCTTCATCAGCCGTTACTCCTCGGTTCTGCCCCGCCCACCTACACCTGTGCTCTGTTGCCGTTAACCCACCTGTCCCCTAGCTCCTCATCAGTCCCGGTCCATATGGACTCAGTCCTGACATCCCTGCAGTCTGGCATTGTGCCTCGTGCAGTAAGTTTCTCCTGCTGCCAGGCCAGCCTGAAGTCTTAAGTCTTTGTGGGACCTGGAGCTCCTCGTGTCTGATTCTGGGTTGGACTCCTCGTGGAGTTGCTGTCTGAACTCTTTAAAACGTTACAGAGAAAACTCAAAACTGTTACCAGGAAAAAAGATTGAGACAAAATGTCGACAAAGTTCTAAAATATTTTATTTGGGATTTTCTGGGGGAAAACCCCATCAGGACCTCTGGGGACAGTTAGAGGAGGTAACTGGTTTGTAAAGTCCATGTCCTGGATTTACTGGTCCATCTAAGTTCCACTCTGTCAGTTCACGTGGATTGAACATCCTGGTGGTCTCCCTCTGGCTGTGGAACCCCAGGGGACACCCACTAGACGGACCTGTCCTCAGTGGACGGTGATGAGACTGACACCTGTACTGTTGGACACGTCAAGAATGGATTACCAGACAACATAAGACCTAAAGCTCGTCATCACTTGGTGTCCTCCTCCTCCTCATGTCCTAAGTGTTGGGAGAAGGAGGAGAAACAAAAAAGGAAAAACTACAGGGACCAGTTTTACTGAATGTGTTGCAGCCTGGAGAACAGAAAAACAACTCATTTCCTGAGGTCCTCGGATGCTTCAGGCTCAACAACGACTCAGTTATTGATGCGTAAAAAGACTCGGGACCAGAAGACAGAGACAGCTTCATGTGGACATGGGTCTCGTGGACTTCGGGCCTTGACTATCCTTCAGTGGATCTCCGCGGCGCCCTCTGCTGCTCGTTTCTGAAACCGACCCAAACACCTCTGCAGAGAACCGCAGGGCCGCGCCGCCCCCTCCATCCACCCCACCCTGGCAACGAACCGCACCGGCAGCAGCCCGTTGCCACGGCAACCGGCCCACATCGCCGGTCACCACAATGTGAGGTCAGTGTTGCCATGGCAACAGAGCAGATGAGCAGTAATCCGTCCTTGTCTGTGCACCAAGGGTGGGGGAGGCAGAGCCAGCCGTGATCATGTGATCATAACTCAGCCCCCTCCCCCAGCTGCAGCCTCCGCCTCCATCCCATTTTGTTTTGCTGGTTCTTAACGTGCACTGCAGAGCGCGCACTGCAGAGCGTGCAGGAATGAGCGGAAGACGGAGAGACACTGATGATGATGATAAACGAGGTCACTGCTAACAAGCAGCTGCAGAGCACGACAGGAAGGACAGTCGATCACCTGACATGTCAATCTTTCATTGCAGCACATTCTGACTTGTTGTTTTTATTTATAATTAAGTTTGAACAGTAATAAATGCTTCGACTGTTGTGAAGTTTGATTTTCAGTTACAGGAGGACTTTAAATTAAAAACAAAAACCTGACAAGGTTTGGAGACGCTGCAGTTCCTGCAGCCGCCACTGGAGTCCACTGATGAGTCGTTTTCCTGATAAATCATGTAAATGATGACGGATGGATGAATAAATGAGTAGAGGCTGCGATGACAGACAGGTTCTGTTTGTTGCAGAACCAACAGAGACTCGAACCAGTCTTCTGTTCTGTTTCAAAGCGGGCTGAAATGAGACAAATGTTTGTGTTTTTACAAACTGCAGCCGCTGCACTTTGACTCCAGCCGCTCATCCATCATCTCTGACGCCGGTGTTTTTCCTTTAACCCCCCTTCTCCTCTCGTGCGTCTTTCAAACGGCTCTGAAGGTTCTGATTGGCTGGCCAGGACGTGATTGAAATAAGGGGGCGGGGAACAGCAGCCAATCAGACGACGCCTCTAACTCCCCGCCTCCTCAAGAAATATTCCACCCTCTGCTCTGACGATTTGACCCCGCCTACTCCTGTCATCATTTTTAGAACAGCAGCCAATCAGACGCCGCTTCAAAGCCCCCGCCCCCTTCATGAATATATACCCCGCCTCCTCGTTACCGCAGACATTTCTAACATGGAGGGCAGTTCGCACAATGGAGTCCGTTCCTCCTCTCCCCTCCCCCAGCCGCCTGCGGCAGCTCCTCCTGCTCTGCAGCCTCTCCGTTTATAAATAACTCGCCGCCATCTTGTCTCTATGTCCTCTCGTTGTTCTCATGAGGCGAGGGGGGCTCTGGGGACAAATATAAACAGAACCTGGCCTTAAATCTTTTGCGTTACGGAACAGCTGAAAACCACAGATTAAAACACCCGTTTGTCTCGTTTCACCCCCGGTCCCGATCCAGACCGTCCTCACTCGGTTCTGGACCACGTCCCGGTTCTGTTCGACACCAGAGGACATTTGCATACATGGGTCCAGATGGTCCCTCTCGAGTCCGCCTCGTGACAAAGAACAGCTGTTGCTCTCCTCGGGTATTCTGGAAACTTCGTTTAGGTCTAAAAACACGCCGAGCTGAAACTAAATCCTCCACCTCAGAGATTAAATCCTCTCGTTCAACAGATTAAATAAAACCACAAATGTGAACTAATCGTTTTGGTCTTTTATGGTTTTGACCGACATGCGGCCTGATGTAAAAACAAGATGGCGTCGGCTCTGAAACGCTGCAGGGTGTTCGTTTTTGATTTTTACGGTCATGAACGGGTCAAACGTCATCCGAACCACTTACCTCTGGTTTGGACTGGACCGTCTGTGTAAGTCTCGGATAAAAAGGTTAAAAAACGGAACGCCTTTGGTTTGACCTCCGTTTAGCTTAGCACAGGGAAACTGTTAGCATCAGACCGGAAACAAGATGGCTGCCACGGCCAGCGCACAGAAACGGACCGAACTCCGTGGAATGTTACAAATTACCAAGGATTAACATTTTACACCAAATACTTTAACATCTTACAGGTTAAACAATCCAAACCACCTGCTGTAACTTTATTACCAAATCATATTTAAAGGTTTTAAAAGCCCAGTAAGTTCAAAGGTCTCGTGTTTGTGACGTTTACAAAATCTGGTAAATATTTTCGTTCTTATTCGAGTTAAAATGTGCAGGTTCTGGTCGGTTTTCAGACTCCTTGAAGGAAACGGACGCCTCAGTCGTGTTTTCAGAGGAATTTATGAAACATGTTGAAGGAGCTAAACAGAAACATTCAGTTATGAATCTAACGTTAACAATCACGAAGCGTTCAGACAGAACCTGCTCGTTCAGATGCAGCCCAGTCGACCCGGTTCACAAACTTTCTGCTTCTTATTACCTGTGCTGAACACACCTGCTCGAGTCAACAGGTACCTACAAACAGGAAGTGTTGAACAAAACTAACGAGGCCTCAGCACGTGAGGTTCTGAAGAGTCGGCCCGGCTGCAGCTGCTGGGTTTTATAGAAACTTCCTGTTTGCTGGAATCAAACTCAAACCTATCAATTGATCAATAATCCTTATTTTCTGTAGGTGAGGGTGAAAACAGGAGGGAGCAGTCTTTAGATTTACAGCGAGAAAGGAAACGGGCCGGTGTTCCACTTCCTGGTTTGAAGAGGAAGTTCCAGGAGAACCTCCGGGTTCCTTCAGAGGAAGTCCTCCTTCAAACAGGAAACGTCCGGTTCCATCCTGCGGTTCTGACCCGACGAGGAAGTTCTGTTTCTGAAGAGCCTGGAGGAACGATGAGAACCGGGCAGGGAGGGAACTTCTTACTTCTTGGACAACATCAGGCTGAAACGCAGAACATCAAACAAGTTTTAATTATTTAAACAGAAATCATTCATCTGTTCTGGAGCTCCTGCCAAAACAGGAAGTGACGTCTAACGTTTATCACCAAACTCGTGAACAATGTTCAGATCTGAGGCACTGAGAAGACGGAGGTTCTGATGTGTTTATCTCCAAGACTGGAAGCAGAGGGAAACTTCACATCGGCCCGATACAACAGGAATCTGATTCAACACGACGTCATGCGACGGCCTGCAAGTTGCTCTGTTAGCAAAATATCCGGCTAGATGCTGGATGGGCTGACGACGCCCAGACATCTCCTTCCCTTTAAGGTCAACCTGATTCAAGATGGCCGCCACAGCTACCTGACCTACACAGGAGCGGCTCGGAGTTTTAGCGCTCTTTAAATGAAGACGGGGCGGAGCTTCTACACGACGTGACACTGATCAATATTTATCAATATGGAGCAGCAGGTCGTCGTCTCAGGCCCCGGTTCTGCTGCTCAGGTTGTTTTCAGGCTGAGGTCAAAGGTCTTCGGCTGTTCTTTAGCTCCGAGTCAGAACCGGAGCTGTTGCCACAGAACAAACCGTGTGTTGTGAAAGCTTTTCTTAGTTTTAGATAAAAGTTGTGGAACGTTCCTCAGCGTTGATCAGTTGTGTGTGGAGACCTGAAGCTGCTGCAGGTTCTTCAGGAGCAAGCAGCACCTCCACAACGTTCTCCAATAACAACATCAAGTGAAAGACTGAAGGTCCAACTGAGCCCGGAGATCCTCCAGGACCGACGAGACGAGGACGCTGGACTCACGTCCCTGAACGCCAGTCTGGAGCGAGGACACGCCCACCCGCAGAGGACGCTCTGACATCACACCTTACACCAGTTTGTGTAAACAACAACAAACAACATTTAACTACGTCAATATAGAAATCAACGAGGGACAGAAGCCCGTTTCAGGTGAGGACAGTTGACAGGTGTGGACAGATGAGAGGAGTGGACAGATGAGGACAGATGAGAGGAGTGGACAGATGAGGACAGATGAAAGGTGTGGACAGATGACAGGTGGACAGATGAGGACAGATGACAGGTGGACAGATGAAAGGTGTGGACAGATGACAGGTGGACAGATGAGGACAGATGACAGGTG